GGAACATACACTCTAAATTAGTACGAGCTCTTCAGACATTATAAACTATAGTTGAGTACGTGCATCTGGCAAATCTACTGCTGGTTATATACCCAGGAAAAATGTGTCATGTATGCTAAGAGACATAGTCAAGATTGTTTATAGCAGCATTATTTGCAGTAGCCAAATCCAGGAAACAATCTAATCCAAGCATTCACCAATAATGAAATGGAACTGTTGTGTTTTCATACAATAGAATACTCAATGGCAATAAAAATAACGGTCACTGACCATAGTTATTATATTCAACAGCATGGATGACTCTCACAGATAAAATGTTGAGCTAAATAGCTAGAGAGAAAAAAATGTATATTTCCATTTATACAAAATGTTAAAACAGACAAACTAATCTATAGTTTTCAAAGTCAGGCATGTGGTTACCTTGGGGGAGAAGGGAAAAACAGTTATCTGGAGGGGCCACGAATCGGGTTTTTGAAGCGCTAGTATTAGTCTCTTTCTCGACCTGGATAGTGGTTCATGAGTATGTTTGTTTCACAGCAATCCAGTGAGATATACACTCACAATGTGTGGAATTCTCTGTGTGTCTGTTCAACTTGATAGAAAAAGTTAAGAGGAAAAGTGTAAGCACAAGACGTAGAAAAATTGTAAGCACAAGACATGGATGGATGTGTTTAGGCCATTGCCAAGCTCCCTCTACAGACATGACTTTTGCACTCCCTCGCTGTGCTGACACACGTTTCCAGTCGTACTATAATTGCGTGCTGTGTTTTGTTTGTATGTTTCCCGGCAATTGGGTGAGCATCACAAGTTCTAATTTTTGGTGTAGACAGTGATCAAGAAAATGTATTCATTGCGTTTTTATTACAAAACACTGAAAGTTTTATATAATTTTTTTCCAGGTAAGCCCCAATATTTTGATGAATGCAAAATGATGACATATATGTAGCATGCATATATGACACATACGTGCTCAGGAGAATGAGGGGGAAAACTTGTTTCCCACGTCAGGCAGTGAAGTTTCAACCTGTCAGCATATCCTGCCGTTCTCCCACTCTCCACCTTGACCTGTTTTCCACCACACAAGAAAACCCAAACTCGCTTCCCAGCCTCCGGGAGGCCTCCTGAGCCTTCAGGTCCCGGTTTGGGGGCGCTGCACTCATTCTTCTCTCCATCTGGAATCCTCTTCTACCCGATATTCATGCAGCAGGCCTCTTTCACTTGTTGAATGGACGAGTGGATTCGTGTGGGGGCCGCTTCTGCACATTCCAGGAGAAGACGACCAGAAAACACAGAAATACACGTTTTCAAAGCTTCACGCCCTTCCCCTGCCTTCTCCTAAGGAGACATTTTTGCAGCCCCTCAAGGCTCAGATTCTCCTTGCCTTTTATTTTAGGGTAACTTCTTTTTCAAAAGGACTCCTTTTTTAGAGCAGTTTCAGGTTCACAGCAAAACGGATTGGAAGGCACAGAGACGTCCCACACCTGCACCCCGCCGCCGGCAATGAACCTGCCCCACCCGAGGGGCGCGTCGGGAACACCTGGCGAACCGCCACGGACACCCCGTCTCACTGCAAGAGTCCGTCCGTCGTTGACGTCGCGGTCCACTCTCGGTGGTCCGCCTTCCGTGGGTTTGGGCCCCCGGATCACGACGGGCGGGAACATTCCGGAGACGCAGGCTGCCCAGGCCGGCCCTGGGAAAGCGAGACGGTGAAGACGCGTCTGGAAGAGCTCCGCCAGGAGCTTCTGCCTCGTGGGACGCGGCCGTCGGGAAAGGAGCCTCCCTGGCGCGCGGGACCCCTACCCGAGGGCCAGCACCGCCGTGCGCCAGGGGATACCGTCGCCGGCCCGAGAGACCCGGGGTGACGCGGGGGCGGGGCGCTGGGAGGCCGAGCGACCCGGTGGCAAGTGCTGCGGCCGCGTGCTGGCCCTTGGCTTGGGGACTCGGCCCAGCACCCCACGTTTGCTCATCGCGACAACCTAACGCGGCCCGGAGGAGGGGGGGGGGGGAGGGAGGGCGAGCTTCATTCAGTTCATGCGGCTTCCCCCGGGGTTTTGGCCAGACGGCCTGGCCTTGGAGCTCGCGAACGACCTCCCCAAGGCGCCCAGACGGAGACTCCGGACGGGAGGTGGGAGGCCACTTGCCCCGGGGCTGAGGGATGCAGCCAGGAGGGAGCCGAAGCCCCGGGAGAGGTGCCGAACGGAGCAGCAGCACCCTCTGCAGGTTTGCCGGGCCCTACCTGCCCCACCCGGGTCGTCCGAGTTATCCACCTGTCATGCGCTCGCCGCGTCGTTGTCTTGGAGAGACCCTCTGGGGCGGTAGCGGCTTTGGGCTCGTTTTCCTCTAACTCCTAGTCCCCGACCAGTCCCAGCTCTGGTCTTCCTCGTGTTCTCGGAACTCAGAACGTTTGTGCTGAACACACACTGAAGGCTGCCGTCCGAGCACTTACCTGCGTTTCCCACAGCATCCCATGCTCCTCAGAATCCAAACAGGACACTTTTGGACACATCCAAGACTTTAGGAGTTCAAGAGACAAGTTTCAAGGACGGGATTTCAGGTGGAAGGCCGGACAGCACGGGAGGTAGTTGCAGAGTGAGGGAGGTCCACACAACACCCCTCAGGTCACATGATGTGGACGGCACCCCGTACTTACTGTAAGGGCTGTCTGGGCTGGGGATCATCCTTTGTGTGTGTGTGTGTGTGTGTGTGTGTGTGTGTGTGTGTGTGTGTGTGTGTGTGAGAAAGCAGGATTTATGAAGAGGACAGAAAAGCTCCCACAGTGGGAGGGGACCCCAGGGGTTTGCCGAGGGGATCATTTGTATTAGATGTTCTGCACTGGCGGACCAGCTTATAATCACCTCTACAAAGTGAAGAGGATCGCCTACTTTCCCTTGTGCTAATTTCCCAGTCCCTCTTCTCTGTTCCTTCCCTCAATAGTTTTGAAGCATCCTTTGGGTTCCCAATTCTGTACCTGGTGTGAGGCGTATGAGGACCTACAAGAATGTGTGATGCTGTCCTATTCAGGCATCAGGTGGTTCTGGGCAGAGGCTACAGGGGGTGAAATGGAGTGGCAGACCACTGTCTGTAAATCTTCACGGGGACCTTGGCGGTCTACATGGCTACCTCAAAATAGAAAAGAAAATTCCCTAGATAAATAACTGTACTTGCGTTAAAAACGTATTCACCTGATGGTGAACTTGCGTTATTTTCTCAAGAATAGTGTATGAGATAAGTACATATGCATGCTGTAAGGTAATAATGACTATTATCAGAAACAAAGGCATTTTCCCTTCAGTTGTCCCAGGTGTGCAGGCTAGATTTCTGTTTCCAAGGAATCCTTTGCTCCTGGGGAGAGAATTAAGTCAATTTTTTCCTCAAAAGACTAGCCCCCGCATCTCTCAGATTTGGTCTGAAAATGTGCTTTGTTTGGCCCACACTGTTTTAAATGGAGTCAACTTGCCAAAGCTTAAAAACTTGGGATATTATCTTTAAATCTAGGTTTCAAATATCTTTGGAATACTGAGTGGGCATTTCCAAGAGAAACAATTTGCTAAGGCCGAATGGAGAGCTCATATCCCCCACCTGCCACAGCCCTCTGCTTCCTTATTTCTCCTGACATGAATTTCTCAGAGCCAGTGGCCATTTATTATCTTCTTTCTGACCTGCTTCACTTCCATTACTCGCATCTTTCCTTCGAAAGGAGGAGGGCTCCCAGGGCTCTGACTGGAAGAAAAAGTGAGTTTACCAAAGACCAAGAAGGTAGATGGTGTTGGGGCTGTGTTGAGGGTTGGGACCTGTGACTCCTTGCACTGATCAGGACAAGATGGATCTTCCAAAAGAACATGGCCATGTAGATGTCCCAGGAACCCCGGCAGAGCTGGACTTAGAGGGATGGAGTGCATTTATCCTTCCTCTATCCTCTCCTCTCCTTTTCTCCCCTTACCCCCTCCCTTCCTTTTCCTTCTAAAAAGGGAAGATAGAAGAATCGCCTCATCAGAGTAGAGTGAACAGCCATGGACAATGAGTATCTTGGGAACAATGCCGGCAGAAGTCAGACCAGAGACTCATTCCACTTTCCTGAACTACTAAACTGGAATTTTTTTTTTTTTTTTTTTTTTTTTTTAAAGAACACAAGGGAAAGGGCTGGTGGGGGTCATGGAAAAATAACTTAGTGGGTAGGTTTAGCTGTATGTAGTTTCAATGACAAGAATGAAGAAAAGTTACATTTCTTACATCTGAGTGTTCTCCTATTAATATGAAGTAATGATGAGTGCTTTATTTTTGAGGAATTTCCCTTATAAAGCACCCACAATACCTTTCCTGATTATCTGTTCACTAAACTCATTCATTCATGCACCTGCTCATCAGCTATTAAAGAATCTGCCGTAGTCATAGTACAGGGGTATACAAAGGTGAACAAAATACAGTCCCAAGTTCTTCCAGTTCTTGCTAGTGGTCTATACAGGAGACAAGGAACTGGAGTAAAAAGAATATTGACCGGGAACAGAAAGTTTGGGGTTTGAATCCTTCAACGGCTGGGTGGCCTTGGGACAACTAGTAAAATTTTTCTGGGCTTCACTTTCTTTATTTTTAAAAAGCGAGTAAGTTATCTTTCTTACCAACTTCTAAAATATTTTACCAAAGAAAATATTTTAATAGTTAATATTTTACTAAAGAAAATAATTAAAGAGACATATACGTCTGATGTAAATTGTTTGTTTTTGCACGAGGGCATAGCTACTTCCTTAATCAAGCTTTGCTTCTTCTTCATGGATGATTTCCAGAGATGAGTAAAATGTATTTTATTTTGCTCCAAATGCATTTACTCATCTAAGATTTCACATATGAGGAATTAAATGTAAAAATATGTTTGCAGTCTCAGTTGAAAGGAAGAAAGCCAATATTTTCTGGTCAAAAGCAGATGGTCCTACTATTTCTAGGATTAACTGAGAAACCCAAGGGTGAATGAGGGACTTGGAGAAAAAGACACTTACCAGGATATGATGCAGTTAGGGAAACGGATTTATTATATTTATATGCAGGTAGGTATGTATTGGTGTTTTGTCAAAAATAAGGAACAAGGTGACAAGAAACCATTTTAGCATTAAAACGAGATAGCTGCAATGGACCAATACTGAGCTTGAAGACCCCAAAAGGAACACGGAACCTGAAAGGATGGCTTTCAGGCTGTATAGATATACAGACAATCAAGTCACCCACACAAAGCAAGCAACACATGGCAATACAACACTACCAACGGTTTCTCACTGGAGGGTGGAGGGAGGCTGGTTACAGCCCAGGGCCACTGGTGGGAAAGGGTATTAAAATCTCATAAATCCTCCATATCTTTTTTCCATTTCAGGAACTTCTTTGGAGTAACTTTCACCTTCTTCGTCCGAGGGCAGAGACTCAGCAAAGCGCTTCAGGAAGCCTCCGTACCTTTTCTGGTAGTCCATCCACCACTCCGGGCGGCCCACTCTTCTCATGAAGCCCCCATATCGTTTCTGCAGCTCTTTGGCTTCGTCTTCCAGTTGGGGGCTTCTCTTTAAGCCTCTCATGAAGCCCCCGTATCTCTTGCTCACTTCTTCATCATTCTCACCACCATTCTGATGGTGGCTGCGCTCTCGGTTGTCACCTGTTTCCAGAAGCTCTTTCAGCAGGTCGGAGGAATTGGCCAGGGAGTCATCTTCCTCTGTATCCTTCTTCATGAAGCCTCCGTACCGCTTGGCAAGGATTTCACTACCGTTGGCTTCTTCCTCTGGCTCCACGGGATAAAGCTCATCCATTTTCTTCATGAAGCCTCCGTACCTTTTCATGAAGCCTCCATACCTTTTGGCTAGCAAATGGCTCTCTTCCTGTTTGCTGCTTCCTCTGAGGGTGCTGGTGCCATCTTGAGGAAGCTCTGGTTTAGACAGTTGCAGGAGTTCCTTGCAGGTTTCCCAGATTTTGAGAGAAGGCAGTTTTCCTTCACATTCCATCACGCAAGCCTGGGAAAACAAGTTGATGTAAGGATAAAAAGAGGATTCCCTGATTTCATTAAGTAAATGAATATTTGTAGACCGAACCATGCTTGCTTTGATATAGAAACTCCCATATAATAAGGTCATCTTCATTAGATTATCATGATTTTCCAGTACACTGAACAGGCAAATAAAATAAAATAAAATAAAATAAAATAAAATAAAATAAATGGAGGCCAGAAAGGAGAAGGTGGTGGGGGAAGAGGGGTTATTAGCTGAATCAAGTTAGAAGTCTGTCTTTAGGTTTTAAACCCAATGCATATACTGTGACATTTCAACATTTTAAAAGGTTAAAAATATTTTTACCATGGAGTTTTAACTTAGATTGGATAGGATACTTTCACAATCTAATTACACTGGATAATTTTCCACTACTGAAGTAATTTTGTTTCAGATTTTTCTAATCAAAAGGGAGAAATTTTTGTTTACCTTCTCAGGGACATTTCCTCAAAACTCCTTTTATTTTCTTGTCTTACAGGTAAAAATCAATATTAATAACATAAGAGTCATTTGCTTTCTTGTGTTAATATTTTAACTAAAATGGTATCCAATATTCCTGCAAACACTTTCAATCTTCAAGGAAAAAACAAGAATTTTAAAATAAGTTTTATAAGAAAGACATTGCAAAAACTCAGTTTAAATCTTACAAATTATTTGGATTCTGATATGTTGATTTGTTGAAAGTAGAATACTTTGTTTTTTCCTTTTTCCTGTTGATTAAAACAGACTTTATCATCTTGAACCAAATATCTGTAATAATCATATATGTCATATATAAAATTATACATATGCAAATGCACAAATTATTCTTGTTTATTTTCCTAACGTTTAGTCACTGGTATACAGGAAAAAGTATTTTTCAATGGAAATCATGTTATTTGATAAAATAGGAATGATCTGCATTTAATTATTTCCTGTTTATTATATAATTCAATTCAAATTGTAAATCTTTACATTCTAATTATCTTGTTGAGATTTGTTTCTATTTAACAGATCATGTGGGTATGATAAAAAGAGTGATATTATTACATGAACATTTGCAAAATATATAAGCTATTTCTTAGCACTTCAGGGGTTTTCTATAGCCCTGTGAAATCTGCTTATAGAGCCCCCATTATAGAATCTTGATTTAGACAAAAAACCGAGGTCCTATCCTGGCAACTAAAAATACACTGATATATTCATTGATGTTAAATACATACATACTATTTTCACAATAAACAAAGCAACAGAATAGTGCATAAAATCTTAAAGATACATATTTGACTAGCTTTTAATGATTATTTATGCTTTGTGTCTGGAAACTTAAATACATGACTATATAAAAATTATCTATGTAAAGACAATCTAGTAACAATAGTTCTATTTTGTTCCTGATAACTGATGAACAAATCAAAACATTATTAAAAGCTTCAAATGTTCGAGGGGAAATAATATTTCCATTCTAAAATTATCTCTAAATAATCTTGTCACCAAAAAGTAATGTTGAATATTTTGTATACTAATTCCAAATGGCTTTTAAATGTATGTGATGTGAGAGTCCTTCAAAAACAAATACTAGCAAATAATCAGAATAATGCACTCATACCAAAGGAGTGATGTTAACTTATGGCTTCTATAGTCACATATACATGTTTTGTCACACATTGTGCACTGTTGTCAAGATCATATTAGGTGGTAAATTCTATTTGGGCACCAGCCATAGCATGGCTGCTCATTTTTGCATCTATTACAGTACCAAGCATAAGCGTCTTTCACATGGTAGAAACTCAACAAGTGTCTGTTATGTTGATTTTACTACACATTTTTGACTACGCAACCTCATTTCTCACGTCTGTTGCATCTGAGCTAAAATCTCAGAACTGCTGCAATTCTAGCAACATAATCATTAACTAAGCCTTTTGTCACTGAGAAAATAACAACCCTAAATGTAAGCTCCAATACAAAACAAATCAGTTATTCAAAATGCCTTCCTGTGAGACTATTTTTATTGATGGCTGCTTATTACCTATATTTCCAAGTTGCTAATATTACGTGTGTCACACCACCATGTGGACTAAAATAACAATAACAATAACAACAATGATAAGCTACAACAACAAGAGCATAAAACGCAGTGAGGGAAATTCTGGAAAGAGCAGTTAGTCTCTCTCTTTCCCCACGTTCCCACCCCCAATCCTGTTAAATGATGAGAGGAGGGTGAGAGAAAAAAGAGAAATCAGGATTTGGGATGATACCCATGGAAGAGCTAGCTGCCACCTGAGAGCTCTGCTCACATTCCTCGACAATGCGAAGGGAAGATTGGGAGCATTCCAGAAGCTTGGCAGAGTGACCAAATTAAATATTAAAAAAAACATTTGAACAGGCATTGTTAAATGCCAGTTCCATTAATTCACTGGATCGCATAATACAACTAAATCTGATACTACTTAGAGGCCAGGCTGTGTGATTGGAAAAATTCTACTAGAATTCACATAAGTGTTTTGTAGATGGCAGATAAATCTAGGGGAGGGGGCTGATCCTTGCATGTCAGGCAAAGCAGAGCAGGGAAAGCTTAAACTATATGTGATTGGGTAAGAAGATTTATGGGATCAGAAAAGGGGTCTTTCCATATGGTAGGTTTGGGGTTTCTGTCTCTTCTTGTGTGTTTACAGTTCTTTACTTGCATGATCTAGCTTTATGTTTACAGCACTCATGCACTTTTTTTTTTTTGGGGGGGGGCAAGGGTTTAAAAACTTATGCCCGTAGGAGAAAGAAGATAGATGAATGAAGGGGATTGTTTTCCCTACTGAAGACAAAACAGTTTTTCGTCGTTTAAATACACAACCCTACTATAGTCTTCTCCCTAGCCAAGTAAGTACACATCAGATGGAATAAATCAGGTAATACAGATATTCCAATGAAACAAACAAATATTAAACCAGGAAATATATACTTTGGGTATACATTTTATGTTATGTAGCTGCTGGAATATGGGCGGGGACATAGAATTTCTTCAAAGGCTCAAGTGGAGCCTTAATCAGCTTGACTTAGCACATTACTCTGTACTGCGTGTTTTAAGTCATCACAGAATTTCAACAAACGCAGTGCAGAAGACTCCTTAGAGGAGCTGCTTAAATGAAGCTCTCTGAGTCTCAAGGCCGGAGATTCTGACCCAGTAGCGCCCCAGAGGGGATTTAAGAACCCACCAACTATGGTTAGCATGCCTGTTATCCTGTTCTCAGCTTTTTCCTAAGTCCCTTGTAGTGTAGTTTATCTTCGGACTGTTGCTACCTGTTTGGACACCGGCCACCTCTCCTATGCCCTTCTCGTAGCCAAATTAAACCGGTGTTTTAGTCAGTGTTACAAATGTGCAGTCACGACAGGAGTTGCATTCCCGCGTCACTTGCTTGTACGACAGCTCCTGAGCTCTTTCTCTCCTGTCTGCTGCAATGTTCCCTTCCTCTTTTGTTATGCTTTGCCTCTCTGCCGTCCACAGGTGAGGGCGAGGGCACGAGGGACCCGAGGTTAAGAAAGCTAGGAACAAGAAATCCAAAGAAAGGCGACGAAATGTCACCAACAAGAGAAATGATGGGAGGGTGGCTGCTAAGAGCGGCCCTTAGCTGGGATCTGGTAGGCGTTGGGGTAGCGGAGCCCCTTCCTTCTCACCGCCCAGGAAGGGACCCGGCGCTCTCCGAGGTGCTGAACAGAGCACGTTTCGGGGCTTCCGGATTCTCAGGGAGAAGACAAACTTGGTCTGTGCGGAGACGTGGAGACACTGCCGCCCTTACCGGTCCCCAGACAGTCGCGAGCTCCCGGAGCCGAGAGGCAGGCGGGACCTCCGTCAGCGCCCCAAGAGCCGCCGAGACGCCCGGTCGCCACGGGTCCACGCCGCTGCGGCTCCGACCCGGTGAGCCCGCGAGCTGCGCCCCGCGGCGAGCCCTGGCTGTGCGCGGACGGTCGCGGCGACCCGCTCACTCCCCGCGCGCAACACTCACCAGGAAGTTGATGTCGGCCGGGCGCACCAGGCGGTAGCTGCAGGTCGCGCAGTCCTGGCTGCATTCCGCCCGCACGGTCACCAGGAGCCCGGGGCCGAGCAGCAGCAGCCAAGTGCAAAGTCTCAGGAATCGCGCCATTGACTGCGAGGAGAGAAGGACGCGCGCTCCGAGCCCGCCGGGGCGCAGAACGCGTCCGGCGCAAGGACCCCTCGCCGCGACCCACCCGCGGGGCTTCGTCGAGCAAAAGCCCGCAGGGACGCTCGTTCTGAGCCCCAGCCCGGCCGCCCGAAGCCTTTGAGGAAAACCTGGGGACTACTCAGACAGCCTCGTGGTCCCGGGTCGGCGCGGGAGCCCCCACCCCTGGGCACCGGCTCCCTTCCCGGGCGTCCGCTGCCCGGAGCTGGATTATGGAGGGAAGGCTCAGGACCTGGTGCTAAAAGGAGTGGGCGCCCAGAGAGGCACGACACCGACCGGGGTCGCGAAAAGCAACCGGGGACCCGGGCTGGGGGAACCCAGGCCATGGAGCGTGGCGCCAAAGGGAGCGGCGGACGTCCCCCAAGCGCGCAGCAAAGGCGAGCTGTGCGCACATTCACTCACGTGGACGCCGTCCGGCCGGGCAGGCTGGCTGGGAAGACCGAGCTCCAGACGCGACGCCAGGAGGAAGGGCAGGAGGCTCGGTGAGGAGGGCGGGCGTCGGGGAGGTTCGGGCCCGGGG